CACACACACACACACACACACACACACACACACACACACACACACACACTTTGACTTTGAGATGGCTTTGGATAACATAATCTATAAACGGCACAGATGACCAGTGGCCCTTCCTTACACGTGTGTGATTCTCAGTAGCACCTTCGTTGCATTGGCAGTCAGGCAGCCTCTGCAGAGGCCCGTGGGTTTGGAACAAAGATACTGAAGGAGCCCGGTGCATCTGCCCACCCTCCACCTGGACTCTTCTGCCCATGGACCTTGTTCCTGGTGGTAGATAACCAGCTTTGTGAATAGCAGACAGCTGTGAGAATTACTCTGTGTTGTGGTGTGAACTGAGAACACAGCACACACTGTGTTTTCCTCTACTAACTATAAAAGAAAAGAGAAATACCATTTTGCAGAGTGAGTGACAGCTATAAGAAATGTATAATCCTTGAAGGTACAGTAAAGTTTGAGGAAGAATGTGTGCAAAATGTTCATCTTGATGGTAACTGAGATTTAGAGTCTGCTTTTTTAAACTCAAAATTTCGACACTGGCTGAAGAAACTCCTATCATTTGTCTCCCACAGAAATGTTCAAGCTGACTCCAAACCATCCCTGCACTGTCTTCCCGGGCTTACTTCTGATCATATGGGGAAACACAGTTTGGCTCTGGGAGGATCTTGTTCTCATTTGTGTTTGCCGATCCGCATTTTGTCACTAATGTACACCAACACTTAGAGCAAGGTTGGCGTGGAAAGAGCAGCCTCCGCTCAGGCTTGTTCCAGTGCAAGTGCGGATACAGTTTGATCAGAGGAGCAGTGAGATGTGCTGGGCACGTGGGCGGCAGAGCTGCAGAGAGGCTTTGAAAAATCCCAGTCCCGTAGCTCCAAGGCGGCAAGACTCGGGCCCCATCTGCTATAAACGGATTAAAAATCTTTTCTCTTTTCAAAGGTTTGATCCCAACAAAGGCCTGATGTGATGGACTCAAAGTGGCAGCTTGGACTTGGAAGTGATTTAGAGCAGAAGTTGCTAAGATTTACATGTCTGGGGAGAACTGGCAGAGGTGTGAGTACAGGGACCATGTATTCAGTGTGTGGTGTTTTACTGGAAGGCTGTTTGCAGCAGATGAAAGACGGGAATAAGTTGAGAGGCCAGGACTCTGCCGATTGGTGCAGCAGAAGTATGTCTTTGTAACGCTCAGCTTTGGAGGTAAAAGCATGCATGCTTATGAAGAACGGTGTCTCCCACAAAAGCCATCTTCCATGTTACTTTCCCTTCCTCTTTCAGAGGCTCCCTCTCAGAGCACTCCCAGACTCTTCCAGATGATGGTATGGCGTCGTTAGTGACAAGCTAACGGAGACACGGGAGGGAAACAAAACCCCAAACAGAAATGTGCTGCACCGAGAGAAAGTACGTGAGAAAAGTGGAGCATGAAGAATGCCCATGTGCAAGTCTCTCGGGTCAAGGTTTATTTTTATTTTACATGTTTGAGTGTTTTACCTTCATGTATGTACATGTACCACACATATCCGTGCTCAGAGGGGTAAGAAGAGGGCACTGGGGTGCCCTGGACCTGGAGTTACAGATGGTGGTTTCTGGCAAACAAACCAGGGTCCTCTGTAAGAGCAGCCAGCTCTCTCAACCTCCATGAGCAAAGCCTTGGGCTTATAGGAAATTTCTCAAATCTCCTAGCTGGTCACTAAGCTACCAGAGAAAAGCTCTGAGGGATGGACATTGCATGTTCTTCAGAATTCCATTGAGAGGGCAGTTACATGAACCTCAGTCACAGTAAGAAAAAGAAAAACAAATTGTATACTGGGGTTGGAGAAATCTTTTATTTCCAGAGTTGCCATAGTGTGCTACCTAAAATGTACATATTTCACCAAAAAGTCATAAAATGTGCTCGTTATTTTTTTGTCCGTTTGACACAAATTAAGTCACCTGGGAAGAGGGGACCTCAACTGAAAAATGCTTTCATCAGATTGGCCAGTAGGCAAGCCTGTGGGTGTTTCCTTGATCAATGATTGATGATGGAGAGACCAGTCCATTGGTGTGATGCCATCCCAGGGCAGGTGGTCTAGGGGACAATAAGAAAGCAGACTGAGGAAGCCATGGGGAACAAGCCAGTAAGCAGCATTCTCCATGGTTTCTGCTTCAGTTTCTGCTTCCATGGTCTTGCCTTGAGTTCCTACCCTGACTTCCCCCAGTGACGAACTGTATGAAATAAACTCCCCACCCCACAAGTTACTTTTGGTCATGGTCTTTAACACAGTTATAGAAATCAAACTAAGACAAGAAAAAAGACATGCAAAGAAACAAGAAAATATCATCTCTGCTCCCTCCAGTTTCCATGTAACCCAGCCACCCCAGTCCTCAGCACTTCCCACGGGTCTTTGATCCTATCACAGACACTTGTACATCCGTGTTCAGTGCTGCTCCACTGGCAACAGCTAGGAAGCAGGCAGTGCCGTCAGTGAATGGATAACAAAATATGGTGCACATGCACAGTGGAATTTTATCCAGCTATTCAAAAAGTAAACTGTGAAGGTAATAGATGAAACTGGAAAGACATATTGAGCAAGGTAACCAGGGTCCAGAGAGACAAACGCTGCGTGTTCTCTCATCTGTGGACTCCAGTTTTGACTCTTTAGGTTTTTATGTTTAGCTTGGAGACCTCCAGAAGCCAGGGAACTGGACAGGAAACAGTGGGGTAGTTTGTCTTGGGGAAAAGAGGCTAACAGCATACAGATGAAATGAGAGTAGTCAGGGGGAGTATTGGGGGCACAGGGAGAAGTGAGAAATAGGGGAGACAAGAAGACAGAGTAACAAGAATTAATTTATGTGAAGGGGCTATGAAAAATACACAAGGAAACTGGTAATCTGGCTGCCCAATTAAACAATATAAAAGAGAGTTTGAAAGCAGATGCCCTGAAAGCCTAGATAATCCTAGAAAGGCTACATCTTAAGAAGTCATATATGACTAGAAATTACCCCAGTGCTAAGTATGGGCCTCTTCTGAAAGAGCTACAGAGACCCCCACAACCATACAGGCTCTTGCCATTTCTCTTAGTTTGTAAGACCCTATTGCTGAAGATACTGTGAGCATCTTGGGTGTAAGACATAGAGAAATCAAACAGGAATGGACCTGTAAGCTTCCTTCCTGCTGACTGGCTTCCATGGTGCCAAATTGTGCTCTGAAGGCTGGTGGGGCAGTAAAGACATCGACTGTCTTGTTCCAATGTGAACTCTGTGAATTATAATACCAGCCTATTAGGCAAAAAGTCTGATCTGGGCAGTAACGGTAGAGCTGCTGTGGGTCTAACTAACAACTGATTAGATTTGAGGCAAAAGGGAATACATGCATAGCCCTGCAAATTGGTCAAAAGCCCCCCACTAGGGAGGTCTTTAGCCCTAGTGGAAATCTTACTACTGCTGCTCACCTATGTTGACATAGCATCAAACTGCCTTCCAAATAGCAGTTTTTTTTTTTTAATCTACTACTCTCAATCTTCATCAGAGAAACCTCTTTTACCTGTGGATAGAGGTGAATGCAGAAACCTTTGATTGTTTAAGAGCCTGAGAATAAAGAAAATCGAATGCTAAGCCACAGGACATGCATATCACCCCCTTAAGGGGTACGTTGCAGTAGAGTGAGTGGAACAAATGTAAGAGACAGAAAATGGGGAGAAGGGATGTAAAATGTCACCGTCTAAGCGCAACTCAGCCATGACAGTCATGAGCTCATAGCAGCTGTGCCCAGGGGCACTGGATGTACAGAAGTCACCACCCTCCAGTGGGCTAAGGGTAGGAAGGTCTCATGGGGCCTTACTACTTACTGCTGAATTATTGGATGTTGACAGACTTGAGAAAGGCAGTGTTCAGTTGTATACCCACGGATGAACCCAGCAGGGTCTAATGGACGGTTTCAAACCCATGGTCACATAGTCATCAGGTCTGTACATCAGGTACCTTGACTTACTTAGCGGTCTATTGGCTACAAATCACTTCTAAAAAAACCAAATAAAAATTTTCATTTTGGAAAACACAATAACAAAAGCAGAAAGTGCACTAAATGGACTTGACAGAAAAATATAAACCAGAATAAAAAGGTGAGAATGTGAAGACAGTTGATTGACATTATCCAGTCTAGTGAACAGACAAAAAAAACAAATGAATGAAAGTGAAGTCTTAGAATTCCTGAACACATTATCACATTGCTGAGACCCAGAAGGAAAGAAAAAAGGAGAGAAGAGACTAACTGTATCTGAAGATATAAAAGCAAAAACTCAAATTGGCTGAAAAGCACAGTTTTAAGAAATGAATTATTGCCGGGCGGTGGTGGCGCACGCCTTTAATCCCAGCACTCGGGAGGCAGAGCCAGGTGGATCTCTGTGAGTTCGTGAGTTCGAGGCCAGCCTGGGCTACCAAGTGAGCTCCAGGAAAGGCGCAAAGATACACAGAGAAACCCTGTCTCGAAAAACCAAAAAAAAAAAAAAAAAAAAAAAAAAAAAAAAAAAAAAAAAAAAAAAAAAAAAAAAAAAAAAACAAGAAATGAATTATTTTATTTTATGAAACTTTAATTTTAGTGAGAGACTTGACAAAAGAATCAGCAGTTGAGTTGGAGGAGGGAGCTGATGACAGGATTGTATGTTTTAAAACTTGGTAAACTTCAGCATTTCCCATCTGGCCCTTCCCCAGGACTTCTACCCATTCCCACTGCAGGCCCCAAGCCTGGCCAGGTGGGCAAGGATTCCGTGTTTGTTTGTTTGTTTGTGAAGTGGACTTGCACCTTGGAAAGCTAGTTTCCTGTGGCATTTATGATCACATTCCTTACAGGCTGCTTCTCGCCTCCCCGAGTGGCTCATTGAAAACAGATTCCAACAGTCACTTCAGAGAGCTGGGAAAGTAGTGTGGGTATCACATCCAAGGGAGGAGCCCACAGATCACAGCTGTCCACCAGGCAGCGGGGCCTCTACTCAGTCCAGTTTCACATCCCCCAGTCACACTGAAGTCAAATGTCTAACCATTTCTTCGTCAGCGAGTAGATAACTCAAAAGCCTGGGCCACAGCAACACTCTGAAAAGATCTTGTGAAATCATTTCTGTTTGCAAATCCCCGAGAACTCCTTATCGTTGGAGAGGCTTAAGCGAGAGCAGAAATCGCTAGATTACGATGATCGGTCTTAATGAAATTCCTCTCCTGCTGAGACGTTCCCTGCAGACTTTTTTCATATTTCAGCCTGGGAAAGGTCTGATGCTTTCCTGTCCTGCTGGTGCCAAGAGTTAATGGAAAACATTTCAGCACAAATTCAGCCCAGGGGCCAGCCTTCTAGACCATCATTATTCTTTGCAATAATGGAGCAGTAACACAATTTTATTAATAGGCATGTTGTGTCCTCCTAAGCTGGCCATGGTTTAGGGTCCGTGTCCCTGTCAGTCTTCCTAACATGCACCACTAAAGCTGAAATATGAGACTGGGAACTCAGATGAAAAACAAGCTTTTGCCACTAAATTATACACCCCATCTCTTCCTGTTTGCAGGGGTGTGGTGTGGGACTGGGTGCCTGCTGCATCCCCCTCAAGTCCTGTTTCCAAATCTAGCTTTGGGTTTTAAGAAGCACAAGGTATAGGTAATAAAAGAATGCATGTAAACAACGAGAAAAAAATCCTACAATCTTAATAGTGTGGATTTTAATATTCTGCTCACTGGAGGGACTATTATGGCCTCATTTGTCAAAATTAAATTAACCTTAAACTTGAAAATATAGCCCATTTGCCTAGGATCTGCCTCCTCCTGAACTCATTGGCTTTTTAATAGCTTTTAGGAACAAGAGCCCATATTTTTCTTTTTTTTTCTTTTAAAGGGTTTGGAATGTTAATTTTTGTTGTTGTTGTTGACACTTTTCCATCCTGTTTGGAAACCTGTGATCAAACCACTGGTCATTGAAACTTAATCTCCCTAAGGTCTTCACAGAGAGTATTAGAACACCTCCCTGCCCGGGGTGCTGCTGGGTAAAGGGAGCAATTGTCATCAACCAGCCTTGAGAGTCTTGCCTCCCCTGGGTAGGGCTCCTAGACAGATCCTGCATGAAAAGATGTGGAAGTCACTTGGAACAACACTGTTACATTTTTAGGGTAGTGGCATAGCCTTGAATCATCACCTGAAAATTATATAATTTATTCTCTCCCTCCTCTAAAGATAGAGATTTATCAAAGTATAGTCTTTAGATTCTTTTATTTAAAAAAGAAATCACCATACCCATTTTATACATAGGGCAAACTGAGGCACCCTCGGCAAGGCAGGGAGGGAAGCAGCAGCTTGCACTGCCCTGTCTTGCCTCCCCCCTCTCCCCCCCCGGAGTGTCAGCCCAGTGAGGTCAGGGGCTCGTCCAACCTTCTTTTTCTCCTGCCTAGAAGACGCTAAGTGTATTGGATGAACAGATGAGTTTTCTAATTTTTCTTGTCTCTTTCTTTTACTTGGGAATAGAAACTCAATTTGGAGTGATTTTCTCCTTCATTAAACTATAATGGTGTGGTTTGTGGGGTTCTCCAAGAAGATCATTTCAACTTAAGATTCATAATGAGTACTTGGGGTTATTCCTCAGATGTTAGCTAGAAAGATTGCTACTCTATGGTAGGATTTCAGAACTGTCTGTGGAGCTGTGCTGCTATGGTTTGAATGTGTCTCCCAGTGCTCCTGTTGGAAAGGTGATCCGCAATGTGACAGTCCTGAGTCCTGAGGGACATTCAAGAGGGATGTGGCTCATTTGGGAGAGTGCTTGCCTAGAAGGCCCTGGGTTCCATCCTCAGTATAAACCAGGCACGGTGGTCTGTGCCTGTAATCCAAGCACTCAGGGGGAAGAGGCAGCAGGATAAATTCAATCGTTCTCAGCTACTTAGCAAGTTCAAGCCCAGCCTGGTATACAAGAAGCCCTGTCTTTAAAAAGATAAGGTAATTAGAACAATAGGACGCTGCCCTCATGAATGGATTAATGTTGTTATCTGGCGTTGGTACAAAATAACAGCTCTCAACTCAAAAGAGATAATTTATTCTTAAGTCAATTTTGAATGACCATGTGCTAATAGTATGTATTAAGATATTTATTTTAGGAGTAAAGTGCTCTTCAAAGGGTAGCCTCATAGCAGTGTCAGAGTTTTCAACAAAAGAAATAAAATATTTAAGAATAGCTTTTTTCTTCTCTCATTCCAACTTCTTTTCACGTCTTCTGTATTTGCTTACTGTGCTACTGTGGCAAAGGACTACCGTCTTAGTGACTCACACATCAGGACTGTCCCACAGTTCAAGAGGCTAGCTCATACTGAGGGTCTAGAGCAGCCTCGGCGCTGCGTCTGGAGGGTCACTGCCCATCTTGAGTACTCCTTGGCCAATAGGAGCATCACCTGTCTCCGTCTGCACACCTCCTTCCTGTCTACAGGAGCCCATTTACATGTTTCTCTCTTTCAGAATGGACGCCAGCCATTCTTCTGTACTTCCAGCGTGAGGCTGAGGAGGTAAGCTCTCCACTTCCTGTCCTGCCACCGTGCCTCCTTCTTGATGCTGTGCTGTCCTGGCTGTGATGGACTCTTACCCTCTGGAACTACAAACCAACATACACAACTTTTTCTTCTATAAGTTGATTTTGGTCATGGCATTTTATCACAACAACAGAAAAAAGCAATGTGTTGTTGGCTGTTTGTTTCTTTGGGGGCCCCTCCCAGCTCCCAAATAAATCACACGGGGGCTTATTCTTACTTATAAATGCCTGGCCTTAGCTTGTTTCTTGCCAGCTTTCCTTAACTTAAATTATCCCATCTACCTTTTGCTTCTGGGATTTTCCCGTCTCTTCTGTAAATCTTACTCTTACTCTGTGGCTTGCTGTGTAGCTGGGTGGCTGGCCCCTGGAGTCCTCCTCCTTCTCTGGCTACTGCTTCTTCCTCCTTCCTTTCAGATTTCTCCTATATATTCTCTCTGCCTGCCAGTACTGCCTATCCTTTCCTGTGCTTGCTATTGGCCATTCAGTTCTTTATTAGACCATCAGGTGTTTTAGGTAGGAAAAGTAACACAGCTTCACAGAATTAAACAAATGTAACATAAATAAAAACAATACACTTTAAAATAATATTCTACAGCAGTAATGCTCTTAATAAACACTGGGTCGATAAAGCTTGAAGAGACTGAGGCTTCCATTAAGACCAAGTAGAAATCTTCCTTGGAGAATCACATATAATTTTATTATATTTCTTATTATTTAAGACAATTTTTAAATTTAAATATATTTTGATATACTGTGGATGATTGACTGATAAATAAAGTGCTGATTGGCCAGTAGCCAGGCAGGAAGTATAGGCGGGACAAGGAAAGAGGAGAATTCTGGGAAGTGGAAGGCTGAGGCAGGGAGATGCTGCCAGCTGCCATGAGGAGAAGCATGATGTAAGATACCGGTAAGCCACGAGCCACGTGGCAACTGACAGACTAATAAAATTGGGTTAATTTAAGATGTAAGAACAGACAGCAAGAAGCCTGCCACGGCCATACAGTTTGTAAGAACTATAAGTCTCTGTGTGTTTACTTGGGGGATGCGAGTGGGAGAGATTTAGGCCAGGACAAAGGAAAACTTCAGCTACACTGATAATATTCTGCCCCTCTCCCAGTTCCTTCTGATCCTCTGCCTTTTCCTACCCATTCAGATTTTTCTTTCTCAAAAAACAAAAACCCCAACACAACAACAAAACCAAGAAATCAATAAACCACACCCTCAAACAAACAAACAAACAAACATCCTGCCAAACTGTAACCAAATAAAAGCACACAAAAACCTGTGGAGTCCATTATGTGTCAGTCAATTACTCCTGAACATGAGGCCTGCCCAGGAGTGGTTGATATACTCAGTGTCATTCTATTGGAGAAAACTGATTTTCCCTTTCCCAGCAGGTATTTAGTTGACAGTTCAGTTGTTAATCTTTATAGGTTTTCATCCATCCATCTATCCATCCATCCATCCATCCACATCCATTTATTCATTTTTTAAATAACAAAATAAAATATAAGGTAAAACAAAAACTATCACACCCAAGTGGGGTGAGATAAGCCAAGAGAAGGAAAAGAGCCCAAGAGAAGGCACCCACTCAAGAATCAGAGACCCACTTGCTCACACACCCAGGAATCCCATAAAAACACTAACTGGAAGCCATAATAAATATGTGAAGGACCTGGTGCAGACTCATGTAGGCCCTGTGCATGCTGCCTTAGACTCTCTCTCTCTGTTTTTTTTTTTTTTTTTTTTTTTGAGACAGGGTTTCTCTGTGTAGCTTTTGTGCCTGTCCTGGATCTCACTCTGTAGACCAGGCTGGCCTCAGACTCACAGAGATCCGCCTGGCTCTGCCTCCTAAGTGCTGGGATTAAAGGTGTGCGCCACCACCACCCAGCTGCTGCCTTAGTCTCTATGAGTTCATATGAGTTTTGCTCATGTTGATTTAGAGGGCCTTGTTTCCTTGGTGTCCTCCTTCTCCTCCGGCTCTTAGTCTTTCTGCCTCCTCTTCTGTGGGGTTCCCTAAGTCTGAGGGGAGGGATTTGATGGAGACATCCCATTTAGGGCTGTGAGTTCCAAGATATCTCTCTCTCTCTCTCTCTCTCTCTCTCTCTCTCTCTCTCTCT